TCTTCACAGTTGGTGTCTGTAACCTTCGCTTACTTGCATGTTGAATTCTTTCTTCATACTTGGGAAGTTTTCTATTATGATTTCTATGAGCAAATTCATTATTCCTTGTGTGCTATCTTCTAGTTTCTCTCTACCTCCATTTAGCCTTAGGTTGGTTTTACTAGTGTTGTCTGGTAGCTGATGATTGTTTTTGTTCTCTTACCAAGTTTAAGGCTTCTAGTAATTCATCACAATTTACTGTTTTGTCCTAGATTTCAAAAACCCTGTCTTCACATTGGTCATTTGTGCAATTTTAGAGTTTTATACATTTTTTTTATACCTGTTATTTTTGTCTCTACCTTTTTTGAAGTCTCTATATCTTAGGTGAATTTATCATTCTTGTTTTGAACCATTTTGTTAAGCTTTTCCAAGTTTTTATTTGTTCCTTGCACGTCCACATTAGTCATTTTGTATGATAATTTCATGAGCTTTTGGATTATGTTGTTTTGAACTTGCCAAGTGTATTTCTTCTCTTACCACTTCACAAAGCTCCTCTCCTGGTGATTGCTTTCTTCTCTATCAGTACTCTGTAGTTCTGCCTTGCAAGAGCTGGAAGACCTAGAGGGCCTGTTGTTGCCTTTCTTCTCCATGTTCTTGTGTGTATATATATGATATATGTACATGATATATATTCTTTATATTTTTGTGCTGAGCATTGAGGTCAAGTAGAGTAAGGATAGACTGTAGTTAATATGAAGGTGTTTTTAGTTGGATTCTTCCCGCCATCAGTATATTACAACTTTTCCACAGATACTGTTCACCTCTTGTGCTATATTTTAAAATGGTTTGGACTAAGTATGTTATAAGGTGAGGGTTATTATTGGTTATAACAGTGTGAGCAGATCTGGTTGAACCTCACTTATCTGAGTTAACATGTTCCTGTTGACATGAACCACCAGTGGCCCCATCTGGCAACTTGAACCACTGGTGGTTAGCTATTTAACATCAGACAATGTAATTCAAATTAGGATCACCTGGCAGTGAGACGTGAATTACAGTCTTGTTGTGAACATGTTAAGCTTTGGATTTACAGTTTCTTCTTTTGTCGATATTTGTCAGTAATCTTTCTGGCCTCTGCTGTTTTGTTATTTAGTGGTGAATCTGCCATGTGGAAGGAAAAGGGAGGGGCAAAGTTAAGAAAATGGGTGAAAGAGGACTGTAAGTCAGTAAGATGAACTGCAGATAGTAAAAATAATAATAGGTAACAAAAAGGTAGATTTGGGGTTTCATTCTGTTAGAAGACTTTTTTATAGGTGGGGTAAAGGATTAATGTTGAAGATTCTAAGAATATATTTGTAGAGTCAGGGTGAGGATGTAGGAGGAGGGAAATGTAATTTGCGATTAAGGAATGCTGCAAGCTTGTCAGAATTTGCTGATTTATTTGTGCACATACAAGGTGGAGAAGAGGCAAGTGAGAACAAGGGTCTAGGAAAGATGAAGAGAAGCAAAAGGAATAGAATATAAATATTTCTTGTTAGCTACCTACCTTTTTAATGACTATTGGGACTTACCACCAAGGAACACTATTCAGATTTATGACCATTATTTGGACTTACAACCTGTCTTTTTAATTTTTTGTAGTTTTGTACATCTTGTTTATAGAGCCTCAATGTCCTTCTTTTGTACTGTATATTTTGTTTATATAGTACTATAATTTTTGCTGGTTGTACTGTACAATGTTTATATAGTACTGTAATTTTTTGCTGAATATACTGTACAGTAATTTTATATTCTAATTACTGCATGTAAGAGTTATGTAAATAAAAACAAAGTCATCAAGTTGGAGTTTCCTTTGACCATTTATTTGTTCTGAATATTGTGATATAATACTATATACAATTCTTTATTTAGTGACCTCATTTAGTGAATTTGGTCCTTAAATGAGGACTGTCTGTAAATAGGACAAAAGGTTAATATGAGATAAGATGGGAATATTTGAGGGATAGTGAAAGTCAGGAAAAAAATTGTAAGGAAGCATTTAAAAGTGGAAGAAACAAATAAATAATATTGCTATAGATGCTAGAGTTAAAATGCGTAGGGAGGTGAGAAGAGAGAAAACAGCTGAATCAAAGTGGAAAAAAAAAGGAACAATAACAACTATGTAAAATAAAAAAAAAGAAAAAGAATTCCTCTGGGAACTGGCTCAAGCAATCCAACAAGAGAATATAGTGCAGTTTCTTCATGACCACTATGCCATAGAGTCAAAATACCCACACAATCCCTTGTCTTTGTTGCAGTCTGGTTGCACGTGGCTACATGTGGTCTGCACAGATGGGTCTTTGCTTCAGTGACTTGCATGGTGTACTGGCATGGAGGGTAGGAGCAAAGCTGACTTGGCTTGTAGGCAGGTGCAGGTACCCATTACTTACCAGGTAAGCAGTTCACAGGGCAAGTACCCACGGGCTGGGCAAGCACATCTATGACTTAGTGGGAAAGCAAGCTCTTAGGGCATGTGCCGGCGGATTGGGTGCACTCACCTGTGACTTAGCTGATAAGTGGACTGTCAGGGCTGGTGCTGGGTGATCAGGGCACACTTGCTTGCATCTCAGTGGGCAAGCAGGCTCACAGACTGGATGACTGATGAATTGGGAACACTCCTTTCTAACTCTGTGGGTAGGAAGGCACACAATGCTGGTGTGGAGTTAACTTAGTATGCTTGCCTGTGACTCTGTGGGCAAGTGGGTTTACAGGGTAGCTGCTGACTGACTAGCTACATTTGAGTACAACCCAGCAGGCAAGCAGCCTCACAGGACGGATGCCAAGTGGACTGGGCACATTTGCCTGGGACTCCATAGGCCAGCAGGCTCACAAGGGGGTGGCACAAGGGATTTGCGCACATGCCGGTGACTTGCTGGGCCTGGGTAGGAGTAGGAGCAGAGCTGACTCTGAATGGCATCAGCTAGAGTGTCCTTTTTGTATGTTTATCCCCTTAGTGGCCACAGTCTGGAGGTGGCCTCCCCTACCCTTATAAGTACTGGAGAGGATACTGTACCAATGCAGCTTACCCCAGTGTGTATAGAGTAGGGGTAGTGATGATTTGATGAGTAGTTTGTGTATGCAAAGTCTCCCTGGAGTCTGATATGTGCACAGCACAGGCACATAGGCTATTTGACACATTTTGAAAAATGGCTGCTCCCCATGGAGTTGGGGGTGAGGGGTAGACCAGCCGCAAGAGTGCTGCTTTCCTTTTTCAGCTGTCTCTTTGGTTAGATCTGCGTTTACCATCTTCCTATTAATATTCTACTTCATGGTGAAAGCTCTTGCCCAACTTCACAATACCTTATTTCTTAGTGAATCGTTTCTGAGATTCTCTGTGATGCCTTCTTACATGATCAAGCCTTGTTGGAGCTACCTCTGTCTTTTTCAAATCTCCTATAAAAATATGTTTTTACCTTGTCCTCTGAATTCTTACAGAATAAATCTGAGGAGTTTCTTCTACTGGAAGAATGTCTTTCTGATTTATATGGCTTTTATGTTTTGCTACTACTTCAGTTTTATAGCTGTTATAAAGATCTCTTGAATCTTGAATTCAAGACAAAGAAATCCGAAGACAAAGAAAGAGGGCAGCTATCGTTCTCTTTTACATGTATTTTTGATATTGTAAGTTACCTTACTTTTTTAGCAGATTTTCTACTTCTTATTTTTGGTTAAGAAAAGATGCTGAAGTATTAGTGGAACTGGGTAGCATTCATCTTTTCTATTCCGAGCTACCTGGTTTGAGGATGCCATAGATGAATATCTTTTAGAAGTGTGAGCAGACCTTCAGTGGTTCCTCTTATGTTCTTTATGCCATCTGTGACCAGAAGAGGAATAGGTAGGGTAAGGAAGAAGAAACCTATTCATCATCAGAAGCAACACTTGAAGAGGAAGATGATTTTCTTCTCTTCTTTAGCGTTTTCTTCTAAGAGCTCCATAACATTTCTTGTTTCTAATTTTTTCTCCTTTCTTCCTTTTCAACTTTTTTCCTAACTCTACCAAGATTTCTGCATATATTTATGAAGTTTCTCCAAACCATTCTTTTCATTTTTAAAAATTTCATCCAAAATCAGAGCTTTCTTAGAGTAATTTTCATCGTTTAAAAATGTCTCTTTTTCTTCAAACTACTCTCCTCTTTCTTTTAAGTATCTGGTAGAGGTGTTTTCTCACAGCCCTGGGAGTAGCACAGTTTTCTAATGCAAGTTCAAAATCTTTATTGCTTTGTTTATACTTCCTTTGGTTGCATATAATGCTTGACAAGCTACCAAAGCTTCTACATTTTATTTTTAGGACCCTGTTGTAGTCATTCATAGCATCCAAATGTTGCTTAACCTTAAAATAATCAACTCTAGTGTTCTCACATTTTAACCCAAGATACAGACCATTTTTTCTTATGCAGAAACAAAATCTTCTCCAGAGAAATTTTTGCTTTGTCGGCCTCTCATTAAAGATGGTGGATTACATTAATCTCTTCCTAGTTTTTCTAAGAGAAATGCAACTACTTCTGGATCAACAAATCCCAGGGTACTTGGCATGATATTTTTATAGGACTCTAAGCAATTACTATTTAGTTCAGCAGTTCTTCTGTAATACAAAGGAAGCTGTTCAGAAATAATTATGTCTAGTTTAATACCATATAGGTGTGGTAGAAGAGATGAGCTATACAGAGCTGTTTATCACCATTGGGCATGGTGATACAGTAATTGGAAGAATTAACTCCATTGAGGAATTGGTCTTTTCATGGTATGGTTTAGGAAGTGGCATCATGTGGGACACATACCACTTAGAAATCTCTCTGGAGTCACAGATAGGGACCAGTACCATGAAAAGCTTGCAGTGTCTCTGTATAGCTCATCTCTTCTACTACATTTTATGTTTTAGAGAGTAATATAAGTTGAAGGAAAAAAAGTAAAGATAAATAATTGTCCCATGACTATTTGTTAAAGTTCTGTTTTCTAAAATACTTATTTTATTTTGTTTCATAGGGATTTGTTTTGGCAGTTACTATCACACGTGAAGCGATTGATGAATTTCGGCGTTTTCAGCGAGATAAAGAAGTGAATTCACAACTATATAGCAAGCTTACTGTAAGAGGTTAGCAAGACATTTTAAATACTACCTACCATTTGTATAATGGAATCATCATTGTAGAGTTTTAACATAATAAAAGAAAACAAACCCTAATTTCTGTTCTTGAAAATAGCTTCATAGAAATTCTACGTTATCCAATTTTTTTATAATATATTATGCATGCAATTCCTAGATATTTATTAGATTTTATTAGGTAGCTATTTATTCATTTTCTAGATACTTGGATGTGTGTGTAGGATTTATATGTATATGTTTCTATTTTTATATATACATATAAATGTGTACATAAATACATATGCATATACTAAAATTATATATATACTCTATTACAGTACTTAGACACACGTGAAACCTATCTTATATGTATACATTTTCTGTGATATATATCAGCTTTATCTAGAATCTGTTTTAGTATTATATTTTTTAACATTTATAAATGTCAGACACCTATACCGTGATGTTAATTATACTTCAATAAAAGGGCCTTTGAGGAGCTCAAATAAATTTTATGATTTAATAAGAACAGTTACATCCACGTTGCTCCTTTGTTCAGAAATTTAACGTTTGTCTAGCTTAAATTCTTAAAGACCTTGTTTATCTGATTTTTCAGTCCATTAATAGAAAAAATAAAGCAGTGTATTAGCAGATGGAATGGAATAAGCTATTACACATAGTCACTATGACAATAGAAAAGTAGCCATACATCAGCATTAAAGGAGACACTGAAACACTGAATGGAAATGCAAACCAAACCCAAGATACTACTTCATACCCTTTATGGGAAATCAAGTCTGTTCAGCAATGAATTTCAGAGTGGATTTTGTATCTTATTAACATATGTGGACATGTGTGAGGAATTATTTACCTGAAATCTCTTCAGAATTGTTCATTTTAACAGCCTATTGAGCTGTGTAACGCATATCATAAAATTCATTCACTTAAAATAATCAACTCATTGATATTTGGTACATTCATAAAGTTGTGCAATCATCACCATCATCTGTTTTTAGAATAATAACATTTGAAAAAGAAACCCCAAATACATGAGCAGCCATTCCTAAATCATCTCCTTCTTTTCCCACCCAAGCCCAAGAAACACTGTTTTCTGTATTTATTGTTTAACCTACTGATTTACAACTGGAATCATAAAATATGTGATCATTTGCTGTTGACTTCTTTCATTTGCCATATTTTCAGGGTTCATCCACATTGTAGCAAGGGTCGTACTTTATTTCTTTTTGTTGACAAATTACGTTCTACTGAACGATATAGCCTTATTTTATTTATTTGGATGGAAAGTTGGTTGTTTCTACTTTGTGACTCTTGTGAAACATCAAAATGTGTGTACAAGATTTTGCATGAACATTGTTTTAATTTCCCTTGGATATATTTCTAGGACTGTAATTCTTACTTTAGGAGATAACTATAACATTTTGATGAGGTACTGACCTGTTTTCCTGATGGCTGCCACATTTTGCATTCTCACCACCAGTGCATGATGATTCCAGTTCTACTACATCCTCACAAACACTTCTTACTGTCTGCCTTTTTTAGTGAGCCTATTACTTTTTGATTGTGCAGGGTATGAAGTAGTGTCTTGTGGGTTTAATTTGCATTTCTGTGATGGCTAATGATGTTGAATGTCTTCTCACATGCTGATTAGCCATTCCTGTATTTTGTTTGGATGACTGTCTATTCAAATCTTTCACCTGCTTTTTAAATGGGCTTCTTGTCTGTTAGCTGCTTAGTTGTAAGAGTTCTTTAGATACCCTGGATTAAATGTTATGTCAGATTTATGATTGCAGATAGTTTATCCTATTCTGTGGGCTCTATTTTCACTTTTTTGCTACATGTATTTATATTTGTTATTAATGTTGCTTATACTTTTGGTATTGTATCAAAGAAACAATTGCCATTCTAAGTTTACAATAACTTCTTCTTGTTTTTCTAGGAGTTTTATAGTTTTAGCCCTTACATTTAGGTCTGTGATTCATTTTCCCATAGCACTTTTTATGTGTTTTGAAATATGGGTCTACATGTTTCTCCATGAACATCAAGTTGTCTGGTACCATTTGTTTAAAAGACTGCTTTTTCTCAATTGTATTGAAAAATTATTAAAGAGCTTTGATGCTTTCAAATGTTGGCATGGTAGAGAAAAGATAAGTCTTAGAAAAAAAGATAAGCTTTAGTTTTGGGGAAAATAACTTATAAATGGTTAAATTGGGTGTAACTTTGCACTATCCTGTTAAGTGCATAGTATAAGTCCTAGCTTCTTTGAGAAATTGTTTTATCATAGGTGTTTGAACTGCACAGAGGTCGACTTCTGGTGTGTTAATTGTACAGTTGACAGGTAGAGTGGTGATGTCAGTGTACAAAGCACGATAGGCAGCTCCACATGCCCATCTATTGGGAGAAAAACAACAAAAATAACAACAACAACAACTAAGCAGTCTCTTAGAACTCTGTAGCAGAGACAGGTTTATAGTACCTGTGTGATTGCTAAGTCCAGGGAAAGGCAACTCAGGTACAGCAACAGCAAAACAGAAAGCTGTTCATTATTTTCCTTTTTTCTGTAAGGTGCTCTTGTTTCAGTCTCTCTCCAGCAAATCTTGAAGATAGAAGTCAGTGTCGTTGCAGAGGAGAACTTATTTAAAAGGATGATGTTTTGTTTTTCTAACCACTCCAAAGTACAGATCTTTTGTTTACCTAACTTGGAGCTCAGGGCAGGATAGCAGAAAAAAGCAGCATCAGGCATTTAATTGAATCCCAGGTTATGGAATAGTCACAGTAGCTTGGGACAAAAGCTTAGAGTTGAGTTCTTCACCAGAGTGTCAAACTTCAGACAGAAAATACTGGAGAGAAAATATTTTTGGGAAATTTGGGCATTCATAAGTTCCTATGTATCCTGTGGAGTTTTTGAGAGCCACATGCAGGCTGAGAACTGGAGGAATACTCAGAAAAGACCTGAGTTTTTTCACCTCTGGTGGATCTCTGCATTCAGTACAAATAGGAAATGAAAGCTAAGACAGAGTTGTAAATACCCTCAGCTGTTTGTTAGGTCCTGAAGGAAGGCTAGAATAGCGAGATAATCTAGAACTCCCCCCAGTCGTAAAATCTGTCAAAACACTGGCAGAATGGAATCTAGTGGGGGAAAGGACAGAAAAGTAGAAGGGAGAGAGAGGACAGAAAATTGATAAGAGGCTGCAGAAGAGTTAAAGGGAGGGGGTGTATATAATAGAAGTGTTTGATATGCATGTATGACAGTGCCACAGTGAAACCTCTTAATAAATATACTAGTAAAAAACCATAAGCTAAGGGAAAAGAGTCTTCAGAGACCACATATGGTAAAGAAAATGCACTTTACAAATATTGCTTTGAAAAATCACTAAACAGACCCAGTTACAGCATGTAGAAAACAATAAAACCAACCCAAAAACACAATAAAACCAACCCAGAAGGGGGAAAGAATATCTTAAACATTAGATTTTCAAAATTACTGATTTGACCAGCTTTCCACAACAAACAGTGAACCATGGGAAGAAACATTGTCAGAAGAATTTAATAGAGATCATGTCTGAGGAATCCCAGAATTTGGACTTAATAGAAAAGGAATTTAAGTCAACTGTCTTAAATATATCCAAGGAGCTTCAACTACTTTATGTTGCAGAAACTAAAAGAAGTCATGAAGAAATTGCTACAAGATGTTAGGAGAATGATATATGAACAAGTAGAAAATATCAGTAAAGGTATAGAAATTGTGTAAAGAACAAATGAATTCTGGAACTGAGAAGTACAATAAATGACAAAATCTTGTGGAGATTTTAGTAACTGATTTGAGCAGGCTGAAAAATGAGTGATTTTGAGCCTAGCTTAGTTGAGATATTCAGATTGAGGAGCAGAACAAATGAAAAAAAATGAGTAGCTCTTCATAGACCTGTGGAACAATATAAAATATACCAATGTATACATCATGGGAATCCCATGATGGGCAGAGAATAAGGAATAATGGCTAGACACAAGTGGGTGTGTTTAGGAAGTGCAGTGAGACTGAAGGATAAAGAGATATTTGTACTGAGACACGTAATCAGACTGTTTAACTTGAAGACCAAGAGAACATACTGACAGCAGCAAGAGAGCAGTGATTAATCACATACAAGTGTATTAAGTAAGATCACAGAGACCATAAAGGTCTGAAGAGAACGGGGCTATGTTTTAAAAGTGATCAAAGAAAATAAAAGTCTACCAAGAATCCCGTATATGGTAAAACATTCCCAGATAAACAAAAATGGATGAGCTTTTTGTGCATTTAAGGATATTATCAAGTGAAAATGTGATTTAACAGAATGGGAGGAAACAGTTATAAATCATATATCTGATAAGGGATAAGGGTCCAGTATCCAGCATATGTAAAAACCTCTTAAAGTTCAACAGTAAAAAAAAAAACCTAATTTAAAAGTGGAAAAAGAATCTGAGTAGATATTGCTTCAAAGAAGATAGGGAAATGGCTAACAGGCACGTGAAACCATGCTCAAGTAACATCATTAGTTCATAAGGAAATGTACATCCAAACCACAGTGAGATGTTACCACGTAGCACTAGGTTGCCTGTTGTTAATCAACAAGTATTGGAAGAATCTAGAGAAATTGGAATCCTGGTACTTTGCTTGTGGGAATGTAGCTGTGGAAAATCATTTTGCAGTTTCTCACATAGTTGAACATATTTAAAACAGAGATCCAACCACTTTCGTTCATAGCACTGTTCACGATAGCCAAAAGTTACTAACAGCTTACATGTTCATCTGTGGATGAATGAATAAACAAATTGTTATATCCTTCTGATGGATTCTTAGGCATGAAAGTAATGAAAGTTTGATATGTGCTACAACATGGATGAAGCTCAAAAACATTATACTATGTGAAAGAAGCTAGGCACAAAATGTCACTTATTGTATTTCACTGATGTAAAATAGGCCAAACAGGTAAGTTAATGGAGGTAGCATGCAG